AAATGGATGCACTAAAGAAAAATGATACATGGGAAAAATGTATCCTCCCATTTGAAAAAAAGCCAGTGGGATGTCGTTGGGTTTTCACTGTAAAACACAAGCCGGATGGAACCATTGAAAGGTACAAAGCCCGGTTAGTAGCCAAAGGGTACACTCAAACATATGGGATTGATTACTCCGAGACCTTTTCTCCGGTGGCCAAAATTGACACGATTAGGGTTCTCCTCTCAATAGCTGCAAATGAAGGATGGCCACTCCATTAGTTTGACGTGAAAAATGCCTTTCTACATGGAGAGCTTAAAGAAGAAGTCTATATGGAAGCTCCTCCTGGATTCACGGGAAACTTTAACCCTGGGGAAGTTTGTCGTTTGAAGAAATCACTCTATGGATTGAAACAATCCCCCCGAGCTTGGTTTGGCAGGTTCACTTTRGCTATGAAGWGATATGGGTTTAAACARAGTAATTCAGATCATACTCTGTTTATCAAGCAAAGAGACAAACTCATAACCTGCTTAATTATCTATGTTGATGATATGGTAATTACAGGGAACGATGAAGAAGAAATGACAAAGCTAAAGACAAACTTGTTCACGGAATTCGAGATGAAAGACTTGGGCAGACTTAAATACTTCCTTGGCATTGAAGTACTAAGGTCAAAGCAAGGGATTTTCATGTGCCAGAAAAAATATATCCTTGACTTGTTGGCAGAAACAGGGATGATTGATTGCAAACCCACGGATACTCCTATGGTTGTAAATCAAAAACTTCATATGGAAGAAGGAGCGGAGTTGGCAGACAAAGGGAGATACCAACGGATGGTGGGAAAGTTGATTTATCTTTCACATACCCGTCCAGATATTGCCTACGCTGTAGGGGTAATAAGTCAATTCATGCATCAACCTCAAGTCGCCCATATGGAAGCAGTGTGGAGAATTATTAGATATCTCAAGGGAACGTCTGGTCATGGAGTTCTATTCAAATCAAATGGGCACTTACAAACTCAAGTATATACGGATGCAGATTGGGCAGGAGATAAAGGAAATCGAAGATCGACATCCGGTTACTTCACTCTAGTCGGTGGGAATCTTGTCACATGGAGAAGCAAAAAACAGAAGGTGGTAGCTCTTTCAAGCGCTAAAGCAGAATTCAGAGGGATAGCATGGGGAGTAGCAGAAGTTTTATGGATTCGAAAACTGTTGAAAGAGGTTGGTTTCTCCCCTAAAGAAACTAGCAGAATCATGTGCGATAATGAAGCCGCCATCCAAATATCAGAAAATCCAGTGCAACATGATCGAACAAAACATGTAGAAGTGGACAGACACTTCATTAAAGAAAAAATGGAAGCAAAGATAATTGAATTACCATTTGTTCGATCAGAAGACCAGCTGGCCGACATTCTGACAAAAGCGGTTAACGGGAGAATCTTCAACAATTGTTTGGTCAAGTTGAATTTTGGAAATCCCACCATTCAACTTGAGGGGGAGTGTTAAAAAAGGAAAATATTATGATTGAGGAATTCATGGGATCAGCCAATAATCAGCATCCTTTCCCAGAATTCAGTGATCAATCAACGATCTTT